GCCCTGATCAGTCAACGCCAAATAGGGCATGGCATGCAATCTGGTTCTGGGTCAGCTGGCTGCCTAGGAAACTGCTCCTTGCTGGAGGCGGGAATGGAGGCGTGGAGGAGACATAGAGCAGCCACTCTTCCCTTGGCTGTGTTCCCTTTGGAGGTAACATGAGAAACTGAATCATGCACAGTAGGGCCCTGGGGCCTCCTCACCTAGAGGATGCAGTTTACCTTCTCTGAAGGGCAAAGTTGGGGGGAAAATGGAAAGGAATTGAGCCTTTTCATGTTATTGAGTCACAGAAATAAACAGTCCTGGAGTTGACTCATATATGTCTTACTCTGGCAAATAATATATTTTTCTCATTCTTGACGAAATTTGGAACTTAGTTTTTTATTCTTGACAGCCTTAAAGAGTTCCACATGGGTAACAACAATGCCGAAAGTTTATTCCTAAGCTTCAAATGAACTGTCATTTTTCTTTTTTTTCCAAGTAAAAATGATGCGAGCAATTTACAATGTTGAGATTACTCTGAAGCACTTACTCAGGAGCTGAGAGCTTTAGCATTTCTATAAGACAGGAGAGCGGGCAGTTTATCTCCTCATCCAGCTGTAAATATTCATTATGTTCCAGCTATTCTAAGACCTGGGAACATATCAGCAAACCAAAGAGATGAAAATCCCTTTCTTTTTGGAGTTGTGTATATTAGATTGGAGGCGACAATTCATACAAAGGTAAAATGAGGAGAGACGTATATAAAATTGTGCATGCTAAGGAGAAAAATAAATCAAAGACAGAGGATATAAGGTACCTAGTTGGGGTAAGTCATTGATGAAATCTTGAGGTAAGTCATTGATGCTTTTATCAAAAAGGTAATTTAATTTTGTGAAAGAATGACAAAGCAAATGAGGCAGCTATTTGGATCTGAGGTAGATAATTCAGGCTCAGTCAATGCAAAGGCCCTGAGACAGGATCCTTCTTGGCAGGTTCACAGAGGGGGAAAGCAATGGGGATCCAGACCAGAAAGGCCTCAGAGCCCAATAAAAGAGTTTGACTTTTGGCTTTTACTTTGTGTAAACCACTGGATGCTTCGGAGCAGCAAAGGATTATGATTTCACTTACATCTTAACAAGTTCATTTTGTCTGCTGAATTGAGACTAGAAGCCAGGAGATAAGTAGAGAGAGATGATGGTGGTTTGGGTGGAGGAGTTAGCTGGTGGCATCCGGAGATTTCAGATCACAGTTAAGTTTTGAAAGTGATAACATCACAAAAAGGAAAAGAAGACTTTAGAAAGAGATCAAAGTTTCTTGTCTGATCAATGAGGAGAAAAGGGGACTGGTATTTTCTTTTATTTTTATATGATTTTATAAACATAAAAATACTGTACAGAGAGTTTACAGTTACATGAGTAAGGTAATGAGTTCATTTCCTATCAAGCATAGTTACCTCCTCCTTTGTTTTTCCCCTAACATCCCCCAGTATTGGATCTATAGTATAGATTTCATATAGAATGTGGGATGTGACTATGGAGTTTAGGGAATTGATTTGGGCTGGAGCCTATTTGAGAATTAAATAAGGATAGAAAAAGAAGAGTTCCAAAACTTTCAAAGAAAGGTTGAGGGGAAAAGGCTGGCTAGTCAGAGATTGAGAAAAAAGTATAGACATGTAATTCTAGCTATTCAGGAGGCTGAGATCTGAGGATCACAGCTCAAAGTCATCCAGGGTCCACAAACCAGAGACTCTTATTTTCATTAGTCACCCAAAGAGCTGGAATTGGATCTATGGTCAAGTGGGAGAGCACCAGCTTTGAGTGAAAAAGCTCAAGGGCAGTGCCCAGGCCCTGAGTTCAAGCCGCCACCAGACCAACACAAACAACAACAACAACAACAACAACAATAAAGTCAAACAAACCCTTCAATGTCCACATAGGGGCTGTCAGGAAAGCCCAGCAAGCATTTCTCAGTGGGGGTTGGGGCAGTGGCAGCAAGGGCATCTGCCCTTATGACTATGTCTACTACCACCATAAACACTGGTCTAAGGGAACAACAGAATCATAGAACACTTTGAAACCAGGAACTCCATGTGACTTTTTTTTTTTGTCTTTCGTCAATCATGGGGTTTGAACTCTGGTCTTGGGGCTATCCTTGAGCTGTTTTGCTCAAGGTCAGAGCTCTAGCACTTTGAGCCACAGCTCTGCTTCCAGTTTTCTGGTGCTTAATTGGAGATAAGAATCCCAAGGACTTTCTTACTGGGGCTTGCTTTGAACCACAATCCTCAGACCTCAACATCTTGAGTAGCTGGGATTATAGGCATGAGCCACCAGTGCCTGGCTCATGATTTTTTTTTAAAGAGGTAAAAACACTTTTTAATGAATAAATCACAGAAAAGTTTCAGTTGTTACAAAACAATAGCACATTTCAAAAGAGAACATTTCTTGGGATCAAATAGTGAGTGACCTTATCTGTTATCAGTTAACATCCTATCTAAAAATGTCCATCTGTTATCAATCTTGCCAGCCCTAGTCTGAAAAAACATGCCTTTTGCAGATTTATTTGCTTATTTTTATTTTGTTCTGATTTAAAGGCCTGGAATTCTGTAAACACTTGACTCCGCTGTCACAGGCCATGGTAGTTTAAGAAGACTTACTGATTAATCAAAGATCTGTGGCCACATAGGCTGGTTTTCATTGTAATCTTTTTATAGATTCACACCTTTTATTCTTAATTTTTGTAATTTTTTTACTTTAATATAGTTGGTTTTATTTGTTACTATTTTTTCTATCTTGTTTCCAAGGATATTTTCTATTTTACTTTGCAGTTATTTTCATTCTTTTTATTATCTTTAATAGTTAATCTGACAAAAGGAGAGCACAAAAAATTTATTTCCCTCCCAACTTGTGTCTTCTAAACTTCTCTTTGCATCGCATGTAATTACCTTGGTGAAAATTGCCTTGCATCATAAAGAATTCTTTGCATGGAGATTCACTTTTTCAGTTACTTCAAACTAATATCCTTTGAGAACCTCCTAGAGTGTCTTCGTTCATTTGGCTCCACCTTTCTTACTTTCTTTCTTTCTTTTTTTATTATTCTAGCATGTGTGCCTATGCTTTTTTTTAAATTTAATTTAATTTTTTTTTGTGAACATACTGTACAGAGGGGTTACAATTACATGGGCAGGATAATGCGTACATTTCTTTTCAAGCATTGCAGCCTCCTCCTTTGTTTACCCTTCACATCCCTTCCCAGCCTCCCTCCCCACCCCCCCCACCCAATCCCCCCCCACCAACGTTGTAAAGCTCGTTTTTGACATGACAACTTGTACTTCTCATTGTTGCAACAGGTCCACCTGTATCCTTAAACGACTTGTTTTTCCCCATCTCCTCCACAAGTTACACTGACATCAAATATAGTGAAAGCAGGGGTTATACTGTGGGGGCACCTTTCTTACTTTCTGAGAGATGGGGACCTCACTTAGCGCTTCTCATCTTCCTGCTGAGCCTATTTGAATACATTATTAACAGCAGTAAACAGAACCACAAGAGTTAGATACCTTTCTAAGCAAGTAAAACTGATTCCAACCATGAGAGCTGCTACCACTGAATACCTATCAAATTGTTCAGGAATTCTGTATCCATTAGTTCAAATCCTCAGGTTGTTCTTGTTAAATTAGTATGTCTTGTATTATTATATAAATATGGAAATTGAGGATTATGGAGAGAAGACACGATGTGCTTAACTTATCAAGACAACCACCACAGAACCCAAAGTGAAAGCCAGGACTAACCTAGTATATTCTGAGGCTTCTACTTCGTCATAGCCTCAGATCAATACCTATTTATTAATGGTAACTCCCTCGCTTCCTCTGGTTTGGTTTTAGAAATAAAAGGATAAATATATAGTTCTTCTCTATACTGATATAGTCCAGTAATATTCTAGTAAAGGAGACAGAAATATAGATCGATGGATCTATGATAGATAGAGAGATGACATCTTTGATTTTTGTGCCAGTACTGTGGCTTGAACTCAAGGTATGGGCACTATACTTTAGCACTTTTACTCATGGCTGGCACATTACTATTTGAGCCTAGCTCCATTTCAACATTTTGCTGATTAATTGGAGATGGGAGTCTCACAAAGTTTCCTGCCTATTCTGGCTTAAAACTGTACTTCTCAGATCAGAGCCTCCTGAATAGCTAGGAGTACAGGTGTGAGCCACTATGTAAAGATTTTATATATATACATGTGTGTGTGTGTTATATAATATATATATTATAAAATGTATAATAATATAGTAATAATATATGTTATATATTATTATTCATTTATGTGTTATAAATATATATATTTAAAACAATGGTTATAGGATAGTAAATACAAACTACAGGGAAGGAAAGCAAGGCGGCAAGCGCTGCCTAAGGAGATTGGCTGGAAGTGATGACACTCTAAACCCAGCCTTAAGAAATAAGTAAGAATCAGGCTAATGGAGCAGGGCCAGAGTATTCTGGGTAAGCAACATAAACAGCATAAACAGTTATGACGGAAACAGCAGGCGGTACTGTTAGGAAATGTAAAACAGTTTGAGCTTTCTGTCCACTCAGGCTCACTGTGTGGGGTAGACAGGTGGAAGTGACTGGTGCTGCCTGTGTACTAGAGATAATATCACTGTTTGCTCAGATTGGAGTTAGCCAAGGAACATCTCAGCAGTCAAGTGAAATTTCTATGGCTGGTCTTTTCATTGTTGATTTTTTTTTCTTTTAGCAGACTTTCCCCTAGAGAGACCATTGTTTTATGCTGCAGAGAACAAGTAGCTTGCCATTCTCCCCAAGGGCAAATTGTTTGGTACTAAATAAAATCCTTGAAGGACACTCTGCCCTTGGCATTGTCTTTACCACACACAAATACCATACCCTCCTCTTCTTTGTTGGGTGGCAATTCCTTTGTTCAACTCCTTAAGGTTAGTAATGATAGAATAAATCAATGTAAACAAAAAGAAATAAAGATGGACACATTCATCAGCAGAAATCACAAATTTATTAACTCTTAAATATATCAATCAATCATTTACCATTATGGCAAGAAATATATACAGTGTCCCATGGTAAACTGCAGTGTTTCAAAATGATAGAAGATAATAAATGTGTAATTAAATTGTGGCGGAGAGAACAAATCACAATTTCCTCACATTGCAGTGGGGAAGACAAACTTGATCTATGATAATACTTCAACACCACATGCTAAGTTCAAAGTGTAAAAAACAAGAAACACTCTACACCTATTTTCTTTTTAATTTTAAATACATGAATGTCACGTGGAGCCGCCTCACAAAAAGGTGAAAGAAATTACAAAGGGAAAAAATGAGGCCATTATTTTCTTTTTTTCCTCACAGATCTCATTGGCAGGTTAACATGGCTCAATACATTTACTGTATATATTCATTTTAAATATATATTGTTTTAAATTTGTGTAATAATTATCAGAAAAGCTTCAACCCAGCTACATACATCCACTAGCAACAATATTTACGGTGATACGTAATCAACAGAGAAAGGTGGCATCGGAGAAAAGGGATGGGTTGGGTTTTTTTGTTGATTTTTTAAATTTTTTTATTTTTATTTTTATATTTTTTGCTTCTGCTTTAAAAATAGGTTTCTGAGGAGTATGGGTGATTATGGATAACATAAGTCAGATGGAGATTCCATGCACTATTAAGTATTGCAGGGATGAGGAAAAGCCTCACAGGAAATTCATTCAACAAAGAAAGACGAGAAAGAAGCATAGAAGAAAAAAAAAAATCGGGACATTTCCCTTTTCATTTTGTTTGAAACTGGGGGGAAAAAAATCTTAATTCCTTGGAGGAAAAGAATAATATTCTGACTTAAGAGAGAAGAGGAAAACAATGAGAAATTAAAAAAATCCCAAGTCACAAAGATCAAGTTCAAAACATGTATGAAAATGGAAAACATTGCTAAGCACTCTAATTTTAGAAAGATAGCTCAATGACAGGCGAGGAGGAGGGGCTTCCTATTCCGCAAGGTGGAAGGGAGCTTTTGCACAAAACTCTGATCTGCTCCTGGCTTGGCTTTCTGGCAATTGCCCCAATGAGAAAGATCATTCCTCATTTACAGCAGGGACTTTCTTGCTTTTATTGAAGTTTCCACGATCCAAATAGCTCTATCATGTTTAGGACGCCTACGGCTAAATCAGAGCTTGAGCAGAATTAAATACATCAAAAATGCTAGTTTAGCTCTCTCCAAAAGACTTCCATTTCTACTTGACCTTCACCACACACATTTCACTTCTATTTTGCTCTTACATACTACCAGCCAAACACAGAAATAAGTATAAAGAATGGGGGACAGAAAGAAAACAACAATAACAATAGAAGATTTCAAAAGCAAACAAAAGTAGTAAACAAATAGGATAAATGAAGAAAACATAAAGATGTGAAAAAGAAAAAAAAAAGAACCTTAGTGAATTCACCTGAGTGAATTCAGCAGAATAGTGCATCTGCCCTGAAATGATCAAACTTGTAAATGACGTGTTTTCCAGTTTACACAGTTTGACTAAAACAACATGGCTTTGATAGTATCTTACCAAGACATTCTTTCTTCTACATTCATATGTAATTTTGTTCATATATCAAGCCCACAAAACACTCATAGAAGAACCATCCATTTTAACCAGGATCACACTAGGAAACTGAAGGTGTGTGTGTGTGTGTGTGTGTGTGTGTGTGTTTGCCTTGCAAAAAAAAAAATGAAAGAAATAAAGAAAAATCAAAACAGATTAACAGCAAAGAATTAAATTTCTTTTTTTTTTTTTTTTGCATTTCTCATACTTGCTGTCATTCAGAACACAACAAAAATGTTAAGTCTGTTCAATCTTGGCATACACAAAATAAGTTGGTGAAAAGGTTGCACTTGGAATATTGTGGACTTTTTGGTTGGTGTGTCTGACCTCCCCCCATTGTTTGCCAACAGTAACTGAAGTTGCATTGGGCATCCCAGCCTGGTAGTTGAAGTGTAAACAATGTATAGGAAGGAATAGAAGAGAGGGTGATGATCACATAGGCATTCCACTAGGACCTTCACAACTTCATGCACTCAGAACCATGCATGAAGAGGAGGAGAGGACGGTCCAAGGTTACTCTCCAGGTGCCTTGAGAACAGAGAATGCGGAAGTGGCACTGTTGATCATTAGCTGAAAGAAGAAAGGGGAGGAAAAATAAGTTATATGGGTTGACGAAGTACCATCAAACTGCTTTGCCACAGAGGGGACAAAGCTAGGCTTTTCATAACTCAGCTGAAGATTAGATTGAAAACACTAGGCATAAGAACTTTTTAGTCGAGAGCATTACAATGTTTAACAAAGGCACAATGTTTAACAAAGACAGTATTTACAAAGATTACCGGTATGATCTGTCTATTTGTTCACACAAATAAAGAGACAGGGTCAACAGCATTCATAGTTACTAAACAGATTTAATACATTAATATTATTTGGTTGAAACACACTCATAGTGTAAATTTATCTTAAGCTTTTTCTTGTTTTTAGACTACTTAGGAAATCAATCTTGAAGCCAATTCAGCAAGAGATATAGTCTAAAAAGTGGAGAAAAGAGTACTTATTTGTATTTAATTTTGTACAGCAACAGCTGAGAACTTATTTCTTAAAGGTTTGATGTAATTCCTTTATTTATTTATGTCCAGTCTTGGGGCTTGAACTCAGGGCCTGGGCAGTGTCTCTGAGCCTCTTTGTGCTCAAGGCTAGTGCTCTTCCACTTGAGCCACAGTGCCATTTCCAGCTTTTTCTGAGTAGTTTATTGAAGATAAGAGTTTCATACCCAGATTGGCTTCAAACTCTGATCCTCAGATCTCAGCCTCTTGAGTAGCTAGGATTACAGGCGTGAGCCACTGGTGCCCAGCTTAGAGGTCATCTTTGAGTACAAAAAATATTTCCAACCCCTATGTCTTTGGATCCATCATCATGAGCATAAACTTAATCATAGTCAACTTTCAATTATCCTTTGGTATTACTTCATTTTGGACATTTTAAATTTTAGGTTGATTCTCTTGTGATTGTCATCATAGACAACCATCATACATTCAGAAGCATGTATTACACTCATTTACATACTGACCACTGCAAATTGCTTACAGTAATGGTAACTTCTGAAAAAAGAATTAAGACACCAACAGGCTCTAAAACTTAATATAACTTACTCTGGATAATTGAAAGTTGTCTGAGATGAACCAGACATACATAACCAACTATTGACATGGCAACTCCAGAGGTCTAGAATGATACAATCCAAATACTGAGAAAAGGTACTTATGACCTCTCAAGTAAGGGTTATGCTCTAAAATGGTAATCACTGTTAGATGTTAGGGCTCATGCAAAATTGCACTGGATTTTCAAAGACCTGGTAGGTGTTTCATTGAGTATAATGCAGTGTGAATATCTTTCAAAGGGAAGAGAAACAGCCATGCAACTTTTCAGTCCATAGCTCCAATCACCAAGTAGCACAGAGCAGGACATTACTTACAAGACCCAATGTGAATGGTTTTCAGGCCTTAGATGTTTTGCCACAAAGGGGTGCCTCCTGAGAAGTTTTCTCTCCCATTTGGAATACACTGTGGCCTATTAAGAGAAGCCCATTTAAGCCATCTGGCATAAAACGAAGTTGTCTTAAATAGGCTCTAACCCATTAAACTTCCCAGAACGGCAAGAGAGCCCAGCCCTGTAGTACTGTATAAATGTAACCCCACCTGTATTAATTGGCAATTTGTGTCCATGCCTCTTTGAGGTAAAATAAGCCCAGATACACACAAGTGTTGGTGTCTTCATTTTCTTCATATTCCCTTCTTGTTTTCCTCTTGATAACATGGTTATTCACTTGGGAATAAATTTTAGTCTACTTTTTGGTCATTTGTTGACCCACATTGCAGAAATCCAGCAATGATATATGATTATTAAGGCTAGAGAGAAGGCCTTTGTAAACCACTGTGGCTGATCATGTATTATCATATCGATTTTACCAGGCCTGTCAGATTTTGTGCCTGTCATCCTAGCTATTCAGCAGATTAAGATCTAAGTGAGAAACACGGTTGAAAGCCAGCCTGGGTAGGAAAGATAGAGCATACAAGACTGTTATCTCAAAAAAAAAAACCAGATGTGGAGCTGTGGTTCAAGTGGTGGAGCACCCACCTTGAGAGAAAAAGTGAAGGGCAGGTGCCCAGACTCTGAGTTCGAGCCCCAGTACGGGCACAAAAAAAGAAAAGAAAGAAAAGAGAAGAGATCCAGATTCTGATGAGAGAATTTTCAAAGAAATCAACAGCGGACAAAGTTCTCCCAACCAATTCTAAATTCCAATTTCCTAATGTAGCCAATAACCACCTATCTCCTTCCATCTAGCTGGAACCTCCTTTACCTATTATGTTTTATCATGCTAACTGGAGTCCTGACACTCCTTTCTTCCCATAATGCTCCTTTGATGGTCTCCTCTTTGTTCTATCTTTTCATGTCTTCAAATTCTACTTATCATGTAAGATCTCATTCAGAATTCTACGTTATAGTCAAAGTCTATATCCATACTGTTATAAACACTGGGCCACGTTGGTGATTCATTCTACCAGGAAGTTGATTATAAATATCATTTTATAGCTCTTTGTGGTGGCAGTGATTAGTTGCTTTCTAAACTGAATGATGCTCCCTAAGGGCGATGTCTTTTACCTCATGCTGTATCGGGAACAGGAGGAGCACCGAGATGATGTACAATAAGCACTCTTCTGATTTTTGACTGAGTTAAGCGGCGAGGTGAGGACATACTTCCACACAAGGTAGGATGGACTTTTTACATATTGCTTGCACATTTTCCCTAGCGTCAGTACCTCAGGGATAGTGTAGGAAGCAAAAGCTCTTGGTAGTACATTGGCCATATCAGAAACCCTTCTTTGTGCTTCCTCCCTCACCCTCTTCCTCTACCAATTGTGAAAATGAAATCACAGCCAGGCACTGGTGGCTCATGCCTGTCATCCTAGCTACTCAGGAGGCTGAGATCTGAAGGTCGTGATTCAAAGCCAGCCAGGGCAGAAAAGCCTGTGCGACTCTTATCTCCAACCAACCAGGAAAAAGCCAGAAGTGGGGGTTTGGTTCATGTGGTGGAGCACCAGCTTGAGTGAAAAAGCTAAGCAACAGAGCCCAGGCCCTGTGTTCCAGCTTCAACATGGGCACAAAAATGAAACAAAATGAAGTAACAAATATTTTGCCCCATCATACGAATTCACCCAATTTAGCCCTATGATAAACGAATGCAATAGCTTCTAGTAGGGTAGCTTCTAGTTCCTATCTAAAACGATCTTGTACTGCCCAAATGAGGCCTCAACTCACAAAAAGCTTCCACCGGTAACCCACACCAGCAGTAAATAACACAGGCCATGCTACCAACCGTGGGGGTGATTAGAAGTTTCTGACACAGTGACATTTACTTACTTGATGGGGACTGTTGGTGACCCGGAACGATGAAAATGGACATTCTGCCACTTCCCGTCCCTGCGGTGCCACACGCGGGTCTCTTCGGACTGCATTGTCTTTGGCATCCCGCTGCCATCCATGTACTGTGTGAGCCTGATGTACGCGATGCAGGCCGCGTCGTCCCCCACTAGGTGGACGTGGGGGTTCAGGATGATCGTGTGGATTGGTTTGTTGCTTTTGGACAAAGCTGAAAGCGAACACCATGCAAAGGAACAACAACAACAAAAAGGACTTTCTGTATCAACTGTGCAAATCAGTCATAAGCTCAGTTGAGATCACAAAATGGAATGCCACCTGTTCATTCCTTAATTTATTTATACTAAGTGCCTTGCTTCGGTGCAGTTCCTGATATTTTAATGGAGGACCCACTGGGACAGTTGCCATGATAGCTTGTGGTGGGTGGGTTTTGTTAGTGGAGATGATGAGATGAGGGAAATATTATTGTATCAGCCATGGAGATCACTCCCCAAGAAAGGCTGGCCAAGGCATGTATTGGTTTCTGCATAGCATCCTGTGACTGCTCCATGCAGGAGAGTCCGTTCTGTGGTTGTCCACTGTGTGTGTGTGTGTGTCTGTGTGTGTGTGTAGCTAGGATTATGTGAGCCACCAGTCCCCAGCTGTGTTCATCTATTTGTGACAATACATGGCTGACCACATAGCCTGGTTCTAGCCCTCTAGTTTTCTTTTGAAAACTTTAGGTAGTCTTTATCAGGTTTCAGATGCTGGTGTTTTGAGAGCCATACCCATTAGGATTATTAAGTGATAAAATGATTGGAAAATTTAGTGTCCATTACTCATTGATGGTGTTTCTTATTTAGATGACCAGAATGGATGGAACTGCTCTAGCTGTTATTCAAACATGCTTCTCCTTCTCAGATATAACTCTTCAATTATACAAGATATTATGATCATCAAATAAGAATTTATTGTATGTATGATAAAATTAAGAAAAGTAAGGGAAGAGAGGGTAGGTTGAAAGGGGGAGGGGAGAAGGTTGAAGGCGTGATGCATTGTATTCATAAAGTGCTTTGTTATGTGGCACCTCTTTGTGCAACTACTCAAAGATAATAACAAATTTAAAAAATTTTTAAATGTAGCAGCGTTACTCACTGGACACCATGTTGAAAATGAGCTATATAACTTGTGGGTGGGATGGGAGCAGAAAAACTGGGAGAGAGGGAAGGAAGGTGTGACATTGTTGAAAAGCAAATGTATTCTTCTTTGCCTGACTTATGCAACTGTAACCCTTCTGTTTAATAAAGTTTTTTAATAAAAATAAAAAAGATGGCATATAATGAAGAATGTATATTTATACAATGTAATAAAATGTAGTTATGCTGAAATAGGTTAAAATGTTAATGGATTAAGTCTTTTACTGCAGATGAAATGTTTTAGTTGAGAGTCGGGAGGACTAGGGCCTGCTTCATCAGAGTGCTAGAATGTAGACAGGCTGAAAACATTTACTGAAGCTTTGTGAATGGGAATGTATCACTTGATTTTTTTTCAACTTGTCTGTAAATGCCTATACAAGAAAAAGTAATTCATTCAGTACATCTGAACTTAAAAATCAGATATTCTTGTTAACACCTAGTCACTAAGAGTAGTCTTAATTATCCTGTTATTATTCCTATAATGACATCTCGCTCCTGAAAGACTGAACTCACTCCATGCACCATATAAATATAACAGAGACTACATTCACTCCATGCATATATAAATATAATGTGTGGTTGAATACTGTCATTGGGGTTAAAGAAGACAGGGATAAAGGGAATTACAGGTTTACTTTATTCTTGATGACCTGAGGGATTTTTGTAGTGCACAAACCTTTGCCATCGTCCTCTGAAATGCAGCTGCTTCCCCCGAGACCACTAAAGCCCTATGAGACCACTGAAGCAGTATGAATGGAAGGTTTTGTTTTTGTTTTTCTCATTATGCTCCTTTGTTTTCATTTTACTTTGAAAATAAATACATTCATTAGGATTTAATGGATGTTTTTGGTCAATATTACTTTTTATGCAATGCAATTGTTTTTCAAAATACCAAACTTTTTAGTTGGATATATGCATGTGACTATATTGTGATGTATACGCCTATACTCTATCTATCTATCTGTCTATCTATCTATCTATCTATCTATCTGTCTGTCTATCTATCTATCTATCTATCTATCTATCTATCTGTCTGTCTGTCTGTCTGTCTGTCTGTCTGTCTGTCCTGTCTGTCTGCCTATCTATTTATAATTTTAATTTCAAGCACACAAAAAATACTGGCTGAAGGCAAAAATTTTCATGGCAGAAAAGAGCCAAAGAATATGAAAATGGGTTGAAGTTGGCAGAGCAATTGGAAAGGGCAGGCTACAGAGGGTTTGGAATAAATGTACCATTTTCAAAGTAGAATCGGTGAAAATCCATGCCTTCCACTAAGTTCCCCAAAGCTTCAGGTTCAAAGGCAGTGAGGCCTGGGTCACAGATTTTTCTGCAGGAAGGAAAACAATCAGTCAAGAAATGTGCCTGATTAGTTTTGTAGATTTTCACATAAGCATTCATATTTCTCCATCTTCTGAAGGAAAGAATCGCTAAAAAGCACCCAAACCATATATTTGTCATAGATCAGGGTAAGATGGGTCAACAATATCTCTAACAAACATTTTTCAGAGAACTGTGATAGGGACAAAACTTTCTGTCTCTTCAAGTAGGAAAGACTCCTTTTTCAATTTTTTTTTTTTTTTACTTTTTAATTTTCAAGATGAATTCTCCAATTTTCCCTAACCCTGAAGTTTACCACCTCAAAAATGATTTCTAAATATTCAAGTATTCTCCTAATTGAAGTCTAAGACATTCTCCAAGTCCTGTAGAGTCTTTTCACTTTCCAGAATTGAATATTATTGGAATGATGTTTGATGAACTGTACCGACTAACAATATTATCATTGATAGGAAGGAAAGTATCGCATCTCCTGTCCAGGAAGCTGTTTGAGATTCACTATACTTTCAAAAGAAAATTAGTAGGAGGTTCAAACGCACATAATGGTTTTCATTATAATCTCAGCAGTGAAACTCAACAAAGCGGTAAATACTGTAAATATTCAGAGAAAGCCATTGGGCTTTCTTTAGGGAAATTTATTTAATAAAGAACTGTTGAATTATTTACTGTGTAACAGATATTTTCCCAAACAAGCATTTATAACACAATAACTAATATTAAAATAAAAGTTGATGCAAAGTAGTTAAGTTCTAGATAACATTCCCTAGGGTAGATTCGAGAAGGAATGCAAATTTGAGCTGGGTTTTTATGAATGAGTTGGATGGAATGTGGGAATGTAGAGGGCAGGTTAGAATTTGCTGGTTTTGTTTGGGAGGTGGTGATTGACCCTTCAATATGGTGCCCACTGGGATACTAAGCCCAATGGAAACAAGGTGGAGATGAGATCCTTTCTGCTTAGGATGACCAAGGTAGGTTTTACAGAAAATATAACCAAACCTGGATTTGGAGAATTAGTGAGAATTCATAAGGTTGATAAAATACTACAAATGAAAGGATTTGGACCTGTTTGTTAATTTTCTCCAAAGGGCAATACTGTCAATGGGACCATTTCTGATATTACACAGAAATCTCTGCTTAGCAGGCAAAGTTTATTGTTTATTCTTTCCCTTGTTACTTTCTTTCTCTCTTTTGTGGTACTTTCCCTTGTTACTTTCTTTCTCTCTTTTGTAGACTCACGTATGCTACGTAAGTCCTTAACATGTTAGCATGGCTCCATTCCTTTTTATTTTAGTTGTTTGTCAGACAGGGTCTTGCTTTTGTTTTCTTGCCCAGTTCAGATCTCAAACCACACTTCCCTTACCTGTGCTTCCTGTGGAGCTGAGATTACAGCCATAAACTACAAAGCCTGGCTTATTTGTTAAGATACATTTTTTTTCCCCACTAACATTTTGCCTAGAATGATCTTGATGATCTCCACTTTCCAGCTCTCTGGAATTAAAAGCACGCACTACCACACCTGGCACAAAATTTCTTAACTATTCAACAAGAAAACATATTTCCAGAGTTTAACTTAGCTAGTTGTTTTCAAAAAGTGCAGTACTATTCACACAATGTGGAACAAGTACGAAGCACAATTTTAACATAGAAAATCACATCAATTATCCTTTGTAGTTAGAAAGCCTTAAATCTGGGGGCGGGAGTGAGATTATAAATTTTGTCTCAGGTTCTCTGTTGGACTCAAATCAAATATATATAATCTCTTCCTAAGGAGCAAAATAGGAATAGTGTTTCTATGGCAACAGGAATTTATTTTGCCTGGAGCTATTGTTTTCTCTACAAATATGGATTTGGGTTGTCAGAATTACTGAATCAAAATTTCTTTCTACTTCAAAATAGCTCCAAAATCATCTGAAATCACTGTGTTATGATATATCTTTATCCAGGTTTCAATAGAGACAATATAGTTAATGCTTGTTAAATCTTTCTTATCTATCTATCTATCTATCTATCTATCTATCTGTCATGTATCTATTCATCTACTCATCTATTCATCCATCCATCTATCTACATCAATCCATCTTTTCTTCTATCATGTATAGTCCATAATAGGCTTTATATTTTAAAAAGGTTAAAGGTTTTTAGATTTTTCGAGTGTATGTGTTTGTGCATTTGTGTGCATACTCTGTGAACAAATGTTTTATGGACCTGCTGAGTTACAGGATACCGATACATTCTTCCATTAAAAAATCTTTCAATCAGAAGTCCTGTTGGATTATATCTAGGCCTGAAAGCACAGCTTCTCTAGGCAAAGGAATAGAGAGGTAGTGTGCCTCCAATGTGTTGTATTATTTAAAATATCCACGTTATCTATCAAAACAGAAAGCATTCCAATTTTTCTTGGCTATTAATTCCCTCTCCACGAATCAAAAATCAACAAAGCATAAGCTTTTTCCCATGTAATAACAACATTCCATTTCAAAAGAATTATTTATTTATTTATTGCTTATCCTAGGGTTTGAACTCAGGGCCTGGGTGCTGTCCTTGAGTTTCTTTTTCTCAAAGCTAGTGCTCTACCAACTGAGCTATACAAGAATAAATAATTTTTTTTAAAGAATATATTCTTTAAGGGTCTAACAAGGTCCTACCAGCAGAAAGAGTAAATGCATGTTCTACAGCACAGAGTTATAAACCATGGTGTAAAAAGAACTCTTTGCTCTGACCACAGAGTTCTTAACCCAGGTTTTACTATTTTTTAAATTTCAAGGGTAGTTTATTAGGTCATGCTAAAAACAGTTGATAAGTGCGTGTGTGTGAACACATGCATATGTGTGGTAGTATGTATATGTACACAATCTAATTTACAAGTATTAGCCTGCATGCATTTACTTCCTACAGTTATCTACTCTCTTCTGTATTTTGCACTTGTCTATTGTGATAGTTTGAGGCTAGAATTTCCTGCAAAGGCTCATGTGGTAAAGGCTTGGCCCCTGCTGTTAGTGGGAGGAGATAGAACACTTAAGGAGGTGGTGCCTAGTGGAAAGAAGTTAGATCATTGGCTATGTGCCTTTAAGGAGGTGGTGCCTAGTGTAAAGAAGTTAGATCATTGGCTACGTGCCCTTAAATGGCATTTTGTGACCCCAGCCCCTCCTCTTTCTCCCTCTTTCACTGTCTGGCTATGAGGTTAATAGGATCCTGCTGCCACATATCCCTGGCAGAATAACTTATGCTACCACAGACACCAAGTTATGGGACTAGTTGGTCTAAAGCCTCCGAAACTGTGGACCAAAACAAACCTTTCATCTTCAAAAGTTTATTGCCTCAGGTATGTTGTTGCAATGACAGAAAACTAATAAAGCTATTTATTTGTAAATAATGGGAAAAGACAGCACCAGTTTATATGCAATTTAGAAGGAATAGGAAAGAAGCAGGACAAAAAAAAAACTACATATACTTTATTCCTTTCAGAAATCTTGTTTAAAGTTCTTACACAATTTGGTATATTTCACTCCATTGTTCATTTTTTAACTAACATAGTTGCGATATTTATGTGTGCACAATTTTATATCCTGCTTTATATTCAACCAAAAATATATGCAACAAAAGGATTGTTAAGTAGCTAGCTATGGTAGTGCACACCTGTAATCCCAACACTCTGGAGGTGGAGGAAGGATAAATAAGAGTTTAAGGACAACATTGCTGCACAATAAGGGCTTGTCTAATAATTAATAATAATAATAAAACAGAAAACAAACAACAGGAAACAACTCTCCCTCAAAACTCATCCTGACTACTCTGCCAAATCACTAGAAACCCTACATAAACATACTCATGGAAATAAAAACACCCACCATTACTTAACCGACACCATACTGTTGGACTTACACACATTTTTTTCCCCCAAAGCTTCTTACTATGAATACTACTTCCATGTATATCTTCATTCATAAATTTGTATCCATGTTTTGGACTCAGGATCAATGCTCACGTTAAATACTCATGAGTAGGAGTTGAGGACTAAAGCAAATTAAACCTATGCAAAAGCTTTCTGGCATAAGTCTCTGAGTCCCTCCACTCTTGTCTCCACCAGCATCATGAGAGCGTGCACCCATTTCCACTGCGTCTGTCCTGAGGAAAGTCAAGCGGATTTCTCTCTCTCTGGTTGTAAGGTGATGTCTTTGCACGCAGGTTTTGTATGATGTTTAGGTGATGGGTATCAGTGTGCTTTTTAACGTTTACTTGTTCTATTTCCTCTTTTGTTAATGGTTATTCCATTTCCTTTAACTGTTTTTCTACTTGTTGATCTTTTCTGCTCAATATGGAAAGGTTATCTTTTGACACATGTTGAGAATTTTTTCTAAGTTTATTAATTACTATTGACTTTAAAAATTTAAAGCATATATACCTATGTGTGCTATATATATTGTACATATACTATATACTTACATACGCTTTATGTATTTAATCTAGTGTTGTATATTTAAACAGATGAATCAGTTTATCTTCACAGTCATGATAACTTTCCCTGAGTTTATTTACTATGGTAGAAGGACCTTGGATTTACTCAGCTGGCACTCTACCACTTGTGATATGCCTCCAGTCCAGCTTTTTGGCGGGTTACCTTGGAGCAAGAGTGTTACGAACGTTTGTGCCCAGGCTGGCTTTGAATTTTGATCTTCTGCATCTCTGCCTCATGAGTAGTGTAGCTAGGATTATGGGCATGAGGCATTGGCAACAGGTCACTTTCTCAGATTTTAAAATTAGAAACACCTTTCTAAGTAGAGTTCAAAGTCATTGTAATTTTTTTGTTTGTTTTGTTTTTTGCATTTAACTATTTCACTGAAGTGAAACTAAATTTGTTTATGGGGTAAGGCGAAGGCTCAGACTGATCTATATCCTTAAATCCTGAATAGGTAACTCTTTGACTCACATACTTTTGCTGCAGTAAGCCTTCATGCCTTATTTGTACCGAACACTTTCTGCTCATAGCAAAGCAATTTCCATTGCAATTTTATCTACTACATAACTCACAATCCAGGAATTTCTTTAAGGTAAGCATTCAAATTGCTGCTTCTCTTTAAGAGAGGGAAAAAGAAAGAAAAGAGAATACAATTCCCTTTAGGAGAGAAGCCCATGAAAGCTAGACAGAGATAACATTGAGCTGCCCTGATTGAAGACAGTGGCTAGCTGATGTCACCATCGATCTTCTTCCTCTGTCCCTGTCTCTCTGTGGAACTACAGAGGAAAATATGTCATAGACCAAGATGCATTGTTTTAAAATGTGTTTGCTTGTTCCTGGTGTCTTTGCTCTTTTGGATTTCTTTATCTTCCCGCATTTGGTGCCACAAAGACATTTCACTTATAAAGACACCTCTAATCCTTGGATCAAAAGTTGGATCATCTCATTGCTCCCTGAAATATTCTCTCTTCTCTTCTCTTCTCTTCTCTTCTCCTCTCTTCTCCTCTCCTTTCTTTTTCCCTTCTTCCTTCCCCATCTCTCTGTCTCTCTGTGTCTGTCTCTGTCTCTTCCTCCCTCCCTCTGTTTCTGTGTCTCTTCTATGTACTGTCCCAAGCTTTTGTACTCGAAGCTATTGCTCTACCACTTCAGACAAACTCACTTTCCTGCCCAGTGTAGCTTAAACCAAGATCCTCAAATCTCAGCCTCTGAGTAGCTAGGTGTGAGCCACCAGTACCTGACTTGTGTGTGTGTGTGTGTGTGTGTGTGTGTGTGTGTGTGTGTGTGTTGTGTAGTACGTCTGTGTGTGTGCATGCACACAGATTCTAGAACTGGAACTCAGGCCCTTGGCTCTGTCCCTTAGCATTTTCACTCAAGGCTAGTGCTCTACTGCTTGAGTCACAGCTTTCCTTCTGCCTTTTCTGTTCATTTGTTTATGGTAGTTAATTGGAGGTACTTCCCTGGCTAGGCAGGTTTCGAAACATGTTCTTCAGCCCTCAGCCTCCTGAGTAGCTAGAATTACAGATATGAGCTCCCTGAAACCTCAAATCACTTATTTTTCTCATTACAGCCCTTTGGCCATTTATGTGACAAATGTTGCCCTATAAAACTTAGGGTTATTTAAATTAAATAAATCATTAAATTATAAATGAATAACCTTAAGCATAAACTTTAGGGGAACTATTAGGGTTAAATGTAAGTATAAAATATAGGGTTACTCGTGAGTTCAGAAGAATTCATTCATATAGGAAACATATTTGCCCTGCATACGACAGCAAGTTAAATGTGTCTGTACTCACGTGTAAGCTTCAAAGTCCCCATTGTTGATAGCTTCAATCAGTTGTTCTGTCACTTTAATAATCTCCTGCTTTCGTGCTGAACGTGAAGATACAACATTGGGTGAGAACAAAGGACAAAGCTGGTATACAACATAACTAACAACATTGCACATGAAATATAAGTCTAATAACATAACTACTTTTCTTAAGCAGCACAGGACCATAAGATCTATTTATCATGGAGAGACGGTGCTGATCTTCTTTGTGCAAGTGTCCTGCTCAGAGTGCACAGACCAGCCTCATCTGCCTCTTCAGACTCTTAGAAACAGAGATCCAGCTGGGCACCGGTGGCTCATGCCTGTAATCTTAGCTACTCAGGAGGCTGTGATCGGAGGATCGCAGTTCAAAGCCAGCCTGGGCAGGAAAGTCGGTGACACTCTTATCTCCAATAAACCACCAGAAAATTGAAAGTGTCGATGTGGCTCAAATGGTAGAGCACTTGTCCTGAGCTGAAGAGCTGAGGGACCACACCCAGGCCCAGAGTTCAAGCCCCACGACCGACAGAAAAAAAAAAAAAAAAGATCTTTGGTCCTTACACTAGACCATCACATCTGGAACCTACCTTTGTGTGTGTGTGTGTGTGTGTGTGCGCACAGACACGCATGTTAGTTCTGGGTCTTGAAGTGAAGGCTTGGGTGTTGTCCCCAAGCTTTTGTGCTCAAGACTAGTGCTTTACCACTTGAGCCATATCTCCACTTCTACCTTGTTTGGCTATGATTGTCTCATGAGCTTTCCTGCCTGGGCTAGCTTTGAACCATGATCCTCAGATCTCAGCTTCCTGAGTAGCTAGGATTACAGGTGTGAGTCACTGGTGCCCAGCAGAAACTGCATTTTCATTTTCAAAAAAAAAAAAAAAGGATTCATTAACTAATTAATTAATCAAAAAGTTTTGTGCTGGTATTGGGGTTTGAATTTCTTGCTTATTTTTTTCTCTCTCAAGGTTGACACTCAACCACTTGAGCCACAGCTCTACTTCTAGCTTTCCAGAACCTGCATTTAAATAGGGTTCTGACCTCTGCCAGTCATCATTATTTCTTACCAGTTACATAATATGAGGTATTTATTCCTCACAGATATTCAGAATGTAGTAAATAATTTGGAAATACTGTAAGGCGATCTTAACATTTTAATGACTAGTGTTCTAAACAGGGGAGACACACCTTGTAGATGATTTGTGTTTGGATTGCAGCTTTCAAATATTTTAAATGAAAATTTATTGTTATTATTCAAGTGTTATACAGACAGGTTAGAATTCCCTATGTCAGGTAATGAATAAAATATTTTTTGGACAATAAAAAATATGCTAGTCGCTGTGAAGATCAAATCAATTTAACCACAGAAAAGGATTAATCTATGAATGTACATCTTCAAAGTACAGGTGATTTCTTACATGAAGATAGGCAGCAAGGTACAAATGTATCTATTGTTGAGCTCAGGCCCTACAAAACACTATACCATTGTGAGGGGCCATCCTATTTAGATAAATGGCTTTTAGTAAACTCGAAATTAGAAAGGAGACCTAAGCTTTGGTGCTGTGAATGTAGGCCAAGGAGCAGATGGCAACCTCCTGAATTGCTGTCAAACCCAAACACCAAACATGATTTGCTTCTATTTCTGGCCCACAACTGGTAAAATTATTACTGGTTGATTTGGCTCAGATCTCACTTATTCAGTAAATTCTTTTCTGGTTACATCTGCCTCAAAAGTTCTGTCTCCTATTTGTATGTGTGCCATTCACTTGTAAGTAGGTAGATGTTATACCTTAACACTTTCTTTCGTTAAACCGTATTATTTGTTTAAATGGTTATCAACTTTTGCACACTTCATAAACTGTCTTCCCAGTTAGACCTCAAGTTCCTGGGAGCAAAGAATATGCTTTTTTTTTAATAGTCCCTAAAAAAGCTTTAGCCAATATTTTTAATAAAATGGATACACAAAATATGAGAATTGGCCAGTTGAGACTTATGATCACTGATCTGCTGGCCTACACATGAAATTACTGCCAGGAACATTTTTAAAATTAACTTTTCCTGAGCTTTGTTTTTAGGGACCTTATTATACTCTCTTAAAGTCATTCTAAATAGACCAGAATGGAGAAGGGGGAGCACAAAAACGTATTTCCAATTTATCCTAGTGAGGTAATAGAACTAATATTTACCTTCAAAAAGCTAACCTGTATTTCTAGTTCCCCATTTATAAATCCAATCTGGATATTCTATGAATCTGATCTGTTGATTTTGATCACAAGCTTAATTTTAAGTTTACATTCACATTTATCCAGGTGATGAGTCCTTATTTAAAGATAAATATCCTGTAAGCCTAATTAGACGTCATTAAGACTATATAAAACTGTGACAAATATAGTAACTGATTATCCTATAAAATTATTTGTTAATGCTGGGCATTGATCTCTCATGCTTGTAATCTTAGCTACTCAGGAGGCTGAGATCTGAGGATCATGGTCCAAAACCAGCCCTGGCAAAATTCTGTGATGCTCTTATCGCCAATTAACTACCAAAAAGCAGGAAGTGGAGATGTAGCTCAATGGTAGAGTGACAGCCTTGAATGAAAAAGCCAAGTGACCACTCAAGGTCCTGAGTTCAAGTTCCAAAACTGACTTACACAGATACACACATACCCCCCCCCACACCTCACACACACACATGCACACACACACAAAGTAATTAATAAAATCGTCTATAAAATGGTTGTTAACAATGTACAGGTTAGAATTCATATTTGATTAACCAATTACTTTGTGCATAAATAAAATAACACAACCCTGGGATCCTTAGCTCTTACACACATCTAAAACACGTATTATCCTTGGTCATTCCACTGATGTCTATCAATAGAATTATCAACTCTCAAAGCCTATCAATAAAGGTGCTAGCCGAGGTCTCTGCCAAGGATACATCCTAGCTTAATTCTCTTGGGCAGTAGGTGATTCCTCTGTCTGTGGCCTCAGCAGTATGAAGCTTTGGCAAAAAGCAACTGACAGGCGACTTAATTCCATCATGAAAAGGGCACTGTTGAGAAGGAACTCAGAAAACGAGTATAAAAGATTGGCTACCAAAGATTGCAATTCCTATGAAATGGTCATTTTAAAACTAACAATTAGCAGGGCACAGTGTCTCATACCTGTAATCACAGCACTTGTCACAATTCTTTGTGAAACAATAACAACAACAACACATAAACATTTTTAGTTTGCTATATGGCTGATTGGAAAACAATCTTTTGAAACTAAAACAACAACAAACAGGCAATTATGAAAAGCCTTAGCTGGGCATGGTGGCTCCTGCCTGCAGTGCTTCCTACTCAAGGGGCTGAGATGTGAAGATCACAGTTCCAAGCCAGATGAGGTTGGAGAGTCCTTGCAATTCTTAGCTGTAACCACCAAAGAGCCTGAAGTAAAGCTGTGACTCAAGTGGTTGAAAGCCTTCCCTGAGTGACAAACTAAGGGATAGAAAGCAGGCCCTGAGTTGAAGGCCCACAGCACCTACAAACACACACACACACACACACACACACACACACACACACACAGAGTCTGTGGTGGAGTTTCATTAGTCAGAGAATGAAAAGTTCAGAAGCATTTCTTAGAGCTTCTGGAAGCCTTACATTTCCTCAAATACAATATAGAGTAAGAAGCATTGCTATGGAAGGCTTTCTCTCACTCTTGGAATCACACACGCAAAATACTCCTTAGTTCCCAGATAGTCTTTATGCCTCAACTTAAGTTTTGTCCTGCATAATGAAAGCCACATCTCTTAGTTTTGCTGCTCAGAAGCAAATTTTTGTTTTGTTTTGCTTTTTCTTCTGGCTGAGCAGCAATTGGGAATTCGCCAGCCAGCATGCTTCTGCTCTGTATCATCACAGCAGCCACATGACTCCCATCGCTTTTAGGAGGGGCCTGGAACTCAGGAATCTTGAGTGCTCATTTCCTTGGGGCAAAAGAGCCCGAGTGAGTGAGTCACAGGGCAGGCAGCGCATGACAGCTGACTCTTTAAAGGAGACCAGAAGGCTGCAAGTGAATCATTTGTATATAGTAACTGGCTTGTGGTTGGAGCTGTTGCTACAAGTTCAGCATCTGACAAGAGAGGAAGAAGGAGAGATGGAGGTTGGCTGACCAGGAGGGAAACTTTAGAGGGGTCCGTTCCCATGTCTGTGGACTGAATCACTCTGTTCTACCTTCTTTGGCCTTCATTCATCCTGACTATAAGAAAGGATTCTAGGCTCAGGCCTGCAATCCTAGCTACTTAAGGGGCTGAGATCTGAAGACCAAGGTGGAAGCCACCCTAGGCAGACCTATCAATTGGTCTCCAATCAACCACCCAAAAAGTAGAAGTAAAGGGGTGGTTCAAGTGTTAGAGTTGTAGCCTGGAGCAAAAAGTCTGAGGTAGAGTACCAGGTCCTCAGTTCAAGTGTCAGTACTGGCACAGACACACACACACACATTGCTGATCATTCCAGAAATCCAAGCAGGGAAAGTTAGGGACTAGGGAACCTGTCTTTAATGACAGCAACACAAGGAGAGCTTAGCACTAAAATATTCTCTGAATAGCAGTGCTTCCAGCACCACAAACACTGTGATTACAAGCAGCTGGCTACCCAGCAATTTTATTTCTAGAAATGAGGTGTTCAAGCTTCTATTCACAAGTCTTAAAGTAGCTTCTGGGGATTTCCAGGTTAGGGGAAGGGATGAGAGAAAAAGCATGTGACCAGGATGCTTCAGATTCCTAACTGTTCTCCATTCAAACACACATAGTGGTTTCCCATATAAGTTCATTTATTTATTTAGTCAGTCTTGGTACTGGGCATGAACTCAGGACCTGGACACCAATCCTTAGTTTTTTCCCTTCAAAAAAATCACTTGAGCTTTTTCCATTTTAATTTTAATTTTTGTTGGTCATGGAGCTAGAACTAAGGGCCTGGATATGGTCCCTGAGCTTTTTCACTCAAGGCTAGTGTGTTGAGCCACAGCACCACTTCCAACTTGAGCTTTGTTGAGGTAGTTAATTGGTAGTTAATAAG